GAGGCCGAAGCGGGTGGTTTTCAAAATGTGGCTCTCGCATCAATGCCGCGCAAATTTGTCTTAACAGTGTACAACAGTTTCAAGCATTATCATGGTTGGCGTGCCCACGGAACTGTGTTTCTGATCAGATTTAAGATTGCCAGGGCGTGGCAGTCACGTTGCTTCGCGGTGGTGACGTCCCAGTAGTTGTGTATGGTGCTTTGGCACGGTTGAAGGTTTTCAGGCGGTTGTCTTCCAACGGGGCTCTTCCCGCAGTGAAGATAGATCCTTATAGGAGCCTATGACAAAAGGAACTTGTAGAGAGGGTTGAGTGTAACATTTTTGGTGGGTCATTGGTTTACACTGATCCCCCCCATCGCCCTCGCGGAGCTTATTCCGTTCTCCCCCCTCTCATTCCCCCTTCCTTCTCTTCCCACTTTCCGCCTCTCCCCGCGTCCGTGCATCTCGGTGAAAACTCATCCCTCTCCCCCTCTCCCCTCTCCTCCTCAACGCCCCTCCTCCTCCTCCTCATCCTCCTCCTCCTACTCCTCCTCCTCCTCAACCTCTTCCTCCTCGTCCTCCTCCTCCTCCTCTTCCTCCTCTTCCTCCACCTCCTGTTCCTCCTCCTCCTCCTCCTCCTCCTCCTCTTCCTCCTCCCCCTCCGCCTCCTCCTCCTCCTCCTCCTCCTCCTCCTCCTCCTCCTCCTCCTCCTCCTCCTCCTGCAGTGAGGAAAAAGCAGGAGGCACGGCGCGCGGACGCGCCCAGGTCCACAAAACCACGGGGCGAGCAGGCGCCAGGACGACGACCGCGGCGGCCGCGACGGCGGCGGCCACGACGGCGGCGGCCACGACGGCGGCGGCGGCGGCGACCACGACGACGGCGGCGGCCACGACGGCGGCGATCGTGACGACTGCGACGGCGGCGGCGGCGGTCCCGCCGGCCTACGCTGGCCCGGCGGCGACTGGCTGCGGCCTCGGCGCCAGGAGCCGGGGCGGCGGAGGTGGCAGGGGCGGCTGGGCGGGCTGGTCCTCGCGGCATCGTCGCTGTCGTCCGTCGTCGCCCACCGCCGTCCTCCTCGTCGTCGTCGCCCTTGTCGTCGCCGTCGCCGCCGCCATCATCATACTCGTCGCCCTTGCCGCCGCCCCACGCCGCCGCCGACGACGTCGGCGTCGTCCTGGAGCAGTCGCCGTCGCCGTCGGCGTCGTCGTCTTCGCACTCGGCGTCGTGGTCGTGGTCGTGGTCGTGGTCGTGGTCGTGGTCGTGGTCGTCGTCGTGGTCGTCGTCGTCGTCGTCGTCGTCGTCGTCGTCGTTTTGGGCCCCGAATGCCATCCAGGGATAAGAAACCTCAGTGGGGCCCCTGCTGACAGGCCAGTTTCTTATGTGATGAGCTTGTATAGGCAACGCCTCCCTGCCGCGCCTCCAAGAGTGTCGGTAGGGCGGGCCAGGCGTTTCGCCTGAAATGTCCTCCCCACTTTTGATCCTGAAGCTTGACAGTCGCGACAGTTGCATGGATGAACACGACGTTTTCAAAATGGAGCTCTCGCCTTAGCGCCACACACACTCGTCTTAACAGTGCAGCACTTACAAGAATTGGGCTCAAGCCGTTTTCAAAATCGGTGGCCTTAGCGCCGCGCGACTGTGTCTAGAAGTTTTGCAGCAGCAGCGAAGATGGAGGCTGGTTCCTTCAAAGTGAGGTTCTCGCCGTCTCTCCGCTCACATTTGTCTCCACAACTTGTAATCGTTATTCTAGGGATGGAAAGCGGTTCATTTTCAAGGTGTGGCTCTCGATTCACACGTCCTTCGGTTAACTTCTACGGGCTCCATCATATGCATCAGCCGTATCAGCTGCACGGATGGAGGGCGGCTCCTTTTCAAAGTTGGGCTCTCGTTTGACCGTGCATATGCGATTGTTACACGGATGGGGTGGCTATTTTCACACCGAAGATGCCGCGGGACACCTCGCTGAACTAGATCGTCATACCTTTCCGCATGCCTGATTGCGGGATAGGAAAATGCACCGAACTTTCTCCTAAAGCGGGCCTCTCGTCGCAATGGCAAGCTCATGGGGTGCTGGTATTTCACAAGGGGAGGTATTGTTGTACTGAAGCAGAAAAGTGGTGCGGACATTGTTGGGAGGGGGCTTGGGAGGAAGTTTGCAGCATCACTGATGCAGCTTGGGATTACTCTGGCCCTCCTCCTCCTCCACCTTCTGTTCCTCCTCCTCCTACACCCTCCTCCTCGTCCTCCTCCCTCCTCCATCCTCCTCCTCCTCCTCCTCCTCCTCCTCCTCCTGCAGCTCCTCCTCCTCCTCCTCCTCCTCCTCCTCCTCTTTATTTTCCTCCTCGTCTTCCTCTTCCTCCTCCTTCTCCTCTTCCTCCTCCTGCTCCTCCTCCTCCTCCTGCTCCTCCTCCAGCTTCTCCTGCTCATCCTCTTCCTCCTCCGTCTCCTCCTCCTCCTCTTTATCTTCCTCCTCCTCCTCATCATCATACTCATCCTCTTCCTACTCCTCTAGCGCATTTGAAGACGGGACCACAAGTTACCCCTTCTCCTCCTTCTCCCCCTCCTCCTGCTCCTCCTCCTGCTCCCACTCCTTCTCCTACTTCTCTCCTCCTTATCACCTTCTCCTCCGCCTCCTCCTCCTACCGCCTCCTGCTCCTCCTCTCTCCCCACCCTCCCACTCCTCCTCCTCCTCCTCCTCCTCCTCCTCCTCCTCCTGGTCCTCCTGGTCTTCCTCTTCCTCCTCCTCATCATTATCCTCCTCCTCCTCCTCATCATCATCACCATCATCACCATCATCAACATCATCAGCATCACCATCATCAGCATCATGATCATCCTCCTCCTCCTCATCATCCTCCTCATCATCATCATCATCATCACTATCATCATCATCATCATCATGTGCATCGTCATCGCCATCATCAGCATCAACATCAGCATCATCAGTATCATCACCATCATCATCAGCATCATCATCATCACCATCATCAGCATCATCATCATCATCATCCTAATCAGCATCGTCATCATACGCATCACCACCATCAGCAACAGCATCGTCATCATCATCAGCATCGTCATCACCATCGGCATCATCAATCGCATCATCGTCATCAACAGCAGCAGCAGCAGCAGCAACGGCATCTTCAACGGCATCATCAGCACCGTCATCGTCGTCATCACCAACACCATCGACATCACCATCAGCACACTTATCCACACCGTCAGCACCATCACCATCATCATCAGCATCATCATCATCATCACCCTCGCCATCATCGTCAACAACGACATCATCGTCAACACCATCATCATCCGCATCATCAGCAGTCTCAACATCAGCACACTTTTCACTATCATCATCATCATCATCATCATCATCAGCATCATCATCTGCAGCATCATGAGCAACAGCGTCAGCATCATCATCATCATCATCATCATCAGCAGCAGCAGCAGCAGCAGCAGCAGCATCAGCATCAACATCAACATCATCATCAGCATCGTCGCCGTCGCCATCATCATCAGCATCGCCAGCATCATCAACGTAGTCAGCAGTGTCATCATGCTTCTGCTCCTGCTCCTGCTTCTGCTGCTGCTTCTCCTCCTCCGCCCCCGCCCCGCAGCTTGCCCTCCTCGTCTCCGCTTCCTCTCCTCCTCAGCCCTCCTCAGCATCCTCCCATTCACCGATGCCTGAATCACGAAAAGTACGCCTTAATGCTGACTCCTACTTGAGGTCGCACGAGTCTTCTCATACTTCTCTCTAATGACTCCGACTCCTCTCACTCCTCATCATACCTCAGCGCCTATCCTCCTCCTGCCTCCTGTTCCTCCCCCATCTCCTCTCCCCCTCCCCTCTTCCTAATCCCCATCCTCCTCCTCCTCTGCCTCCTCCTCCTCCCCCTCCTCTGCCTCCTCCTCCTCTTCCTCATCCGTCTCCTCCTCTTCATACGTCCTCCTGCTTCTCCTCCTCCTCCTCCTCCGCCTCCTCCTTCCCTCCATCCGTATTCTCTGCCTCCTCCTCCTCGTCCTCCTCCTCCTCCTCCTCATCTGCCTCCTCCTACTCCGCCTCCTTCTGCTCCTCCTCCTCATGCTGCTCCTCCTCATCGTCCGTCTCCTCATAATCCTCCGCACTACAATCAGCATCCGCATCCGCATCATCATAATACTAAGCAGCATCATCATCCTCATCATCATCCTCATCATCATCATCATCATCATCATCATCATCATCATCATCAGCAGCATCATCGTCATCATCATCATCATCATCAGCAGCAGCAGCATCATCGTCATCAGTATCATCATTAGCATCATCAGCAACAGCAGCATCAGCATCATCAGTAGCATCATCATCATCATCAGCATCATCGTCAGCATCATCATCGGCGGCATCATCATCACCATCGTCGTCATGAGCATCAGGGGCATCAACATCAGCTGCACCGACATTATCACCACCACCACCACCACCATCAGCACCGACATCTCGATCAGCATCAGCATCTTCATCCGCATCATCATCATCAGCGTCATCATCAGCAGCATCGGTATCATCATAAACATCAAGAGCATCATCATCGCCTCCATTATCATCAGCATCAGCAGCACAATCATCACCATCATCATCATCATCATCATCATCATCATCATCATCATCATCAGCATAATCAGCATAATCAGCATCATCATCATCATCATCATCATCATCATCATCGTCATCGTCATCGTCAACATCATCAGCAGCACCATCATCCTCAGCATAGTCATCACCATCATGAACAGCAGTATCAGTATTGGCATCGTCATCACAATCAACATCAGCACCACTATCATCATCACCAGCATCACCATGACCATGTGCATCATCATCAGCATCAGCAGCGTCAGCATCATCGCCATCAGCGCCATCATCATCAGCAACAGCATAACCATCACCATCACCATGATCAGTATCAGCATCATCAGCATCATCATCGTCCTGCTCCTGCTCCTGCTCCTGCAACTGCTCCTGATCCTGATCATGTTCCTGCTCCTGTTCCTGCCCCTGCTCCTGCTCCTCCTCGTTTTCCTCCTCCTGCTCGTCCTCCTCCTCCTCCTCCTCCTCCTCCTACGCTAGCGCCGTTGAAGACCACTCCTCATGCTCCTCCGCCTCCTCCTCCTCCTGCTCCTCCTCCTCCTTCTCATCATTATCATCATCCTCATTATCTTCTCTTCCCTTGTATTATACTCTCTTATAGTAACCTCTCTTCTCTTCTCATCTCTTCTCTTCTCGTCTCTTCTCTTCTCATCTCTTCCCTTCTCTTCTCTTATAGTATAGTATCGTCTCGTCTCGTCTCTTCTCTTCTCTTCTCTTCTCCTGCTCCTCCTCTTCCTGCTCCTCCTCCTCTGCCTCCTCCTCCTCCTCCTCCACCTCCTCTCTCTCCTCCTCTCCTCCTCCTCCTCCTCCCCCCCTTTCTTCTCTCCTCCTCCTCCGCCTCTTCCTCCTCCTCCTATGCTGCCTCCTCCATCCTCCTCCTCCCTCCTCCTCCTCCTCCTCCTCCTTTTCCTCCTCCTCCTCCTCCTCCTCCTCCCAAATCGCATTAGACGACGACTCCTATGGGCATTGCGACCCTGCGCCGAGCGGACTCCCGGCCGCTGCCAGCCCCGCTCCCTCGTTCCCGCTGTCCATTAGAAACCCAGCGACCGTGCCATGGATTGGCGGCGCGCAGAGAGGCGTGGCGCGAGGGGGATGGCCTCGAAGATGGCGGGAGGTTTCTGAGAAGGCTTCTCGGAGGCCAGGGGGGCTTCTAAGAAGCCCCCCACCCCCCCCTTCTGCCTTCTCATATGGCCAGCTGCTGCACGGACCTCTCCCAGGGCGCATCCTGACAAAATATTCGGGGAAATATTCCAGCCGTGGTGGAAGGAGGAGGAGGAGGAGGAGGAGGAGGAGGAGGAGGAGGAGGAGGAGGAGGGAGGGGGCGGAGGAGGAGGAGGAGGAGGAGGAGGAGGAGGAGGAGCAGGAGCAGCAGGAGGAGGAGGAGGAGTTCTCCCACTCTGAGCCCCCTCGCGCCACTCCCTTGTGCGCGCCGTCGCACAGAGCCACGCGGCGGGCTCGGCCCCAAAACAATCGGCGGCCGAGCGCTGTGCGCGGTCGGCGCGCTGCTGGGCCTCTGCGAGGACCTGCCGCGAGGGGCTCTGCGTCCGGCGAGGCACTCGGCTGCTGCCAGCCATGCTGCACTGGTCGGGTGCTGCGAAACAAGCGCCCCTGGCCCAAGGTGCCCCCAGGATCTCCAAGGAGGCCCCCACGGCCTCCAGAGCACCCCTCGCGAGGTCCAGAGGGCCCCAGGGGCCTCAAAACTCAGCCACAAGCGGGGGGCAGACTGGGTCAGGGGTGCCTTCCGCCCCCGAGCTGGGGGGCGGCTCCCGCTCTTTCTTGCGGTCGAGCAGGACGAGAGACGGCGGCAGAACCCAAAGCTCTCGGAGGCGCCGCGCGGACCTCCTGGGCCGGCGCCCAAAGGCCCCATGGCAGCGCGCCCGGGGCACCGCCCCTGGCGCGCGGAGAGTGAAGGGTGAGCACAAGGAGGAGGATCGAGGAGGAGCCTCCTCCTGCTCCTCCTCCCTCCTCCTTCTCCTACCTCCCTCCTCCTCCTCCGTCCTCTCCTCCTCATCCGCATCCGCCGCTACTCCTCCCTCACCACACTCCTACTCCATTCCTCCTCTCCTCACTCTCTTCCTCCCTCCTCTCCTCTCTTTCCTCCTCCCTACTCCTCCTCCTCCTCCGCATCCTCATCCTCATCCTCATCCTCATCCTCATCCTCATCCTCACCATCACCATCACCATCACCATCCTCATCCTCATCCTCATCCTCATCCTCATCCTCATCCTCATCCTCCTCCTCATCATCATCATCATCATCATCATCATCATCAGCATCATCATCATCATCATCATCATCATCATCATCATCATGATGATCATGATTATCATCATCAGATCATCATCATCAGCAGCATCATCATCATCATAGTCATGAGCATCAGCATCATAATCATCATCATCACCATCATCATCATCATCATCATCATCATCATGATCATGATTATCATCATCATCATATCATCATCATCGGCAGCATCATCATCATCAGCATTATCATCATCTTCATCATCACCACCATCATCATCATCGTCATCAGCATCATCATCATCAGCATTATCATCATCATCATCATCATCATCATCATCAGCAGCAGCATCCTCATCCTCATCCTCATCCCCATCCTCATCCTTATCATCCTCCTCCTCCTCCCACCTGCTCATCCTCATCCTCATTCTCTTCCTCTTCCTCCTACATACTCATCCTCCATACTCCTCGTCCATTGTCCTCCTCCTCCTCCTCCTCCTCCTCCTCCTCCTCTCCCTCCTCCTCCTCCCCCTCCTCCTCCCAGCGCCGATCCATTTTTCGATCAGCAGCGACATTGGACAATGACCTTCTGGGCGACGAACACTCTGCGACGGCAAGATGCATACCGTCGTGGC